GGGACTCCAGGATCATGACCTGAGCCGAAGGCAGTCGCTTAACCAACTGAGCCACCCAGGCGCCCCAAGAGCAGTAGCCGTTTCTAAGAAGCGAACGTGGAACTGGCAGCTCCAGGCGGTCTGGGCTCCAGATCCTCCCCTCGGGGTTGAGGCTGCCGTCGGTGTGTCCTCTGGGGTTCGTTACGCTGATGTGGGTTTCATTTGTGTCTCTTTGAATGACAGGTTAGTGCCGGGTGCTGTGCTCTTACTGGTTGGTTGTGCTTGTGGGTGCGACCCAGAGGTGGCATTCATAGCGCTGCCCTCGGTCAGGCTCGCTCTGGGGGCCACACTCCTTTAACCCCGAGCGTGGTGGAGTTCTCTTGTGTTGCAGTCTGATCGCTCGTCCCCAGGAGCCCCGGGAATTTTCTCCTTTCGAAATGGGTTTGTTACATTGCATTCCTTGTTTTTTCCCTAGATCTGCGGAGGTTCAGAACCTATAAAGGTGGCTCCGTTCGAGACCTCCTCCGAGCCATGAGAAACAAGGTAAGGGGCGTGAACCCCCAGTGGTCCGGTGACGGGGGTTACAGCCCCCTTTCTCCTTTCTGTTCTTTGTGGGTCCTTCCATTCGTACTAGAATTCTGAACTTGCAGGGCCAACTTGTTCCCTTAGGTCGGTTTTCTCTTCCGGGATGTTGAGACGAGGAGTTCCGCTCTGGGAAGCGGGCTGTCTGGTGTCATCTGTGGTCTCTGCTGACTTGTGTGTGCCCTGTGAGACAGCACGGTATAAACTCCCGTAATGGGGACCTTCCCACACAGGCCTGGCCAGTGGGCCACTCCGGTAGGGCAGCTCCTGCCTGCCTCCCCAGCCCTGGGCCTGACTCGGCTCTGAGGCACCCTCCTGAACAAGGGGAAGCAGGGAAGGTAGGCGGATGGACCGTTGAGTATCTGAGTCTTTTCTCTTTGACAGAGAACCAACTGACGTTCTATCTTCCTTGACTAGCGAGAGGATCTTTCACCCGTGCTTCCTGGGCTTTCCAGCTGCTAACCCCTGTGTCTGTGTGTCCGCCTGTTTGCAGAAGCACCACTACCGGGAGCTCCCCGCGGAGGTGCGGGAGACGCTGGGCTCCCTCCCTGACGACTTCGTGCGCTACTTCACGTCCCGCTTCCCCCACCTCCTCTCCCACACCTACCGGGCCATGGAGCCGTGCGGCCACGAGCGGCTCTTCCAGCCCTACTACTTCCACGAGCCCCCAGGGCCCTGGCCTCCATTGACTCCAGACACCCTTTGAGCCAGGGTGGTCCTCCGTTCTGGTGGCCGCAGCTGTGACTGTGGGCCTGGTCTCTACAAGCCCGAGCCTGACGCCTCCCGGCTGGGCAAGGAGACCAGGCTCCCAAACCAAGTGCCTTGAGCTGTCCACAGTGCAGCCAGCAGGGGATGATGCCGACCCCAGGAAGCGGGAACCATGACCCGTTCTGACCTGTAGAGAGCTGGGAAGATGCTGACCACGAAAGTTCTGCAGTCGGGGGTCCTCTGCCAAGGAGGGCCCATCCCCAGAGGCAGCGACAGAAGCATCCTCCACCTTCTCCTGGATGCACTTGCTTCAGACCTACACTTTCTTTTTTAAACTTCCTGTTTGATGTCAGCCTGTGGGCCTGTAAGGAAGAGAGAGGAGGGAATCCCACGTATTGCCTGCGTGTGGGACCAGGAGCATCTCTCTCCCTGGCCAGCGAGGCTAAGAGGCACTAAGCACAGCTTCTGCTCGAAGTGGGGCTCCAGAGGTGAGGGGTGTTACGGAGGAGGAAGTCGTTCAGAGCGTGTCGTTCCTGGGGATCGGAGATGCCTCACTCATCACGGACGCACCCAGAGTTTCCCAGCTCACTCTGACCAGTGTTCTTTGGGGGCAGCGAGAGTCTTGAGTGTGAGGCGCAGCGTTGGGACAGGTGAGCACCGCACACTGGAAGATGAGGCCGTGTCTGCAGATCTCTTAGAAACGAAGAGGACGCTCTGTCCTGAGTCCACGGTAGCCCAGTGCATCAGTGGCCTTTGGTGGATTTGGGGGATGTTTAGGAGCATTTGGGGGCAAGAGGTGATAAGTTCCCCATCAAGAAGAGCAACACCCAGGCAGGAACAGGCCTTTGGGACCAGAGGGGAGCAGGCCAGATGGGACACTCACGGCCACCGTGGGGGAGTCCTGGGCCAGCAGGTGGGCAATGTGGCTCCTCCGTCCCTGGAGCCAGCAGGACGGGCCAGGGGGTCGGGAGAAGAGGCCAGGGTCACCACGGGCTTCGTGGGCAGGCTTTTATGTTTCTCTTGGCAGATTTTAATAACTTTATATTTTGATCATACTGTAGAATGCTATGTTAGCATAAGTAAGCTGAACTTGAAGCTTCCTTGTGAAGAAGATAAATGCAAGATATATAATTCACTTTTTATTTTGTGGGTACCAAAAGTCTCCCTCCCCTCCAGAGAGAGCGTTCACGTTCAGAACATGCTCTACTGCTGAAGAGTAAAACAGTGTAGCAAGGCTATATACATCCATTAAACAACTTCAAAGTAATAGTCCCTAAATTATGTCAATATCTTTTTTTGCTAAAATTAGTGTAGTTTTTAACTTTAGTTTCAGTCAGAAATTCCTGTCTTTTCCTCTACCGAGAGCCTTAGCGGTTAAATGTGAGCAGGGTACAGTGTGGAGGTGTTCCCCGTGTCCTTTGTCCAGCCGGGTGAGTGGGTCCCTGCACTTCATTCAGTGCTGGGGAGCTCGGAGACTCCACTCGGGAGTAAGGATGTTACTGACGGACCGAGAACTCACTGTTTCTTCTGTGAAATGCTTCCTGATGGTGGATTGGACTGAGGGCCACTCCTCAAAAGCTCTCCTTCTGTCTTCGTAGAATTCAGTTCCCTTCCTTTCATAATGCCCGGAGTCACTTTTTTCCTTAAATTCACATTATCCTCCATCTGCGTTATCCTCCACCCTCACCGGTTACCTCATCTAGACCTGGGAACCCCGGTGTTCTGGGCTGGCCTTGTGGTGAGTCTTCTGCCATACCGCCCGTTTTTCAGGAACCCGGCCAGATGCCTGCCCTCTCCCTGCTCTGCTGCATCCACGCCATTGTCCCTGTGGCCCTGCGGTCACTTTGCGGCCGGGCCTGAGTGGCGATCCCCCCCCACCAGGCAGTCAGGTGGAGAAGGTCCCACAAGTGACGGGCAGGCTGTCGGTCCTCTGTGCTGCTTCTGTCTCGTGGCCGAACGGTGTCGTTGGGGGAGTAGCCAGTCACTTCTGGCTGCCCAGGGTTTGTGTCCTCTCGCTGTTCAGGCCCAGCTTGTCTCCAGGACAACTGTTTTTCACATGCCTTTTCTGCTTCTCCTCTTCATTTCTACCCACCCATCTTCTCAAATTCATGTATTCGATGTGTTGGATTCTGGGTACTCACGGGGTGAGCCAGGCTGGATCCCGGGGGCTGGGGACGCAGAGGTGAACAAGATAGGCAAAACCTCTGCTTTTGTGAGAGCGTAGAGGGAGAGACACAACAAACCGTAAAGATCAGGGCTCCAGGAAAAGCCGTCCTCCGTCAGCCTTCTCTCCGTCACTTTTAGGAACCTGGTCACTCCTCAGCCCCTCGGGTGGCTTGAAGAGGTCTCATGTGGACCCTGGTCATGCAAACTGCTTGGGCATTCTCCACCACATCTCTCTTGTCTCTAGAATCCTGGTTTCCTGTTGTGCTCTGCACCATGAGACGGTGTCTGTCCTTTGCTAGAACAGGGCTCTGCGGCCTTGTGTATCCTGTCACAGCGGAGCTATTTGATCTTTAGCACGATTCCTGGAAGGCTGTTTAACTTTTTAGAAATACACTATCTTCATTGTCACGACAGAATTTAGTCATATCTGTTGGGAATCCCAGGGACACTCTCATTAAATCCTGTGTTGAATCTGTCTTTGGCACGCCTGCCAGAATTTCTCCGGTTGCTTCTTGAGTCTTTTTAACTGCAGTTTATCGAGAGCTCCCGTGTCGCTAGGAATCAGAGCACTTGCACTTTGGGGGATCATTGGTGTCTGTGGTAAGTCACTAAATCATCTAGTGGCGGATCTAAAACCCTGGGTGCAGAGGGGCTCTCCCTCACCCCGCCCTCTCCGTGCCATAGCCATCCTAGGCTCTTTCCAGTGAGACCTCACTCTGACCCATTACACGGATTAGAAGATCCACAGGTTAGTGGGCCCCGCAAAGTATTTTCTTTCTACCAACTCTAGAAGAAAGGCCTTGATCAGAATCAACTCCGGGCAAGGTTTTGTGTGAATGTGGTTTGTTTACCATTGCACTTCTTTCACACCACAGTGAAAGATGCGGTGGCTGCTGATCGGACCTCTCGCAGATGTGGGGGGCCTCTGGGTTGTAGACCTTTCTCTTCTTGGCCGCTGTCTCTTCAGAAGTTGGGCTCTGGCCGGGTTTGGGTTTCCTGAGTCTGCTTTCGCCTTCCCGCTCTGTGTATTGGGTCCTCAGCCTGGAGGTCGTCGCAGAAGGTAGGCTGGTTCACCTTCTGCTGCCTTCTGTGCCACGAGCCCTGGAAGAGCACACAGCACACGTGTACAGAGCCTCTCTACATTCTCTGCTCTTTTAGTGTCTGAACTCCCTTTTCTTCACATATCCCAGTGTCTCTTCCTTGCTGATTCCTTCACCATCCTGGAGTTGTCCTTGCAGCTGAGTGTGGCCTGGCATTGACCTTTCCTGGAAGAAAGTCACTGGGTGTCCCATACAGATGAGCCAAAATGCCACCTTCCAAGGTTGGACTATGATCTTTTAAACCAAAGTGTCTCCTCATCCTGCACTTTGTTTTCTTGATGAAACAGTGATTTCCCCCACGAGTAACCCTGGTTTCAGTTTTTTGTATCTGCCCGTGAATCCTTTCTGTATTCATTGGGCAACCACAAAGAGCGCATCTGCAATGAGCCTCCCCCTGGGGCAGCCTTAACCTCCACTTCCGGCCAAAGTCCCCACTCCACTCGCCTCACCCTGTGTTTGGCGGGTACAGTGTTCCTTTTCAGTATCCCAAAAGCTGTGACGGGGGCATCCCCACTTACCTAGAGAGCATTACCAGTCAACCATGCGGCATTCTCAAATGCAAACCTTACGTAGTGTTCTTTTTGCCATGACCTATTTATTTAACCTATTTATATTTATTTAATTTTTACTCTGACGTATATCCAGCTATAATTGCACTTGCTTTTAAAGCACATCAGATTTGTTTTGGACAACACACCCCTGACCATTCTAAAACTGGAAAAAGAAAAGTTATACTGTATCCTTCCATGGGATGGACGCCTCACAGTAGTTTTATCATTAAAGGGTGAGAAATTTGGTCAGGGTAAAAATTTTCTTTTTTGAGTGATTTTTTTAAAAAAATTCTGTGCCATTGTGTCTTCTCTGTAGACAGTTGTTTAATGGGTATGTGTTAATTATGTGATAGAATCCTCTCTGTGAACCTACAATCCTCTTTTTAGCTTTATATTTTATAAACTGCCAGATTGTACAATTTTTATGTGTATTTTTAAAGCTTGATGTGAGGGTAATTATCTAAGTTAAACAGCCTATTTTTGTACCTCCTGTACAGTTTTATAATTCTGCTGATTGATAAAGGCGTCTTACGCAGCGCCAACCACAAATAAAGGTAGTTTTAGACCTGGAAGTCGGCTTCGTCTTCTTAAAAACTTGACCCCCACTCTCAGGCCTGGGGTCATTCCTGGCCCTTTTCCTGGCTGTAGGGGTCTGGATGGTGAGGGTGAGCAGCTGACTCGGGGGGTGAAAGGGGTGCAGTTGCCCGCCGGTGTCCGAGGCACGGTCCAGGGGGCTGGAACGTCCTCCTTGGTGACTACGGGGAAAGGTTCTTTAAAACCCTGCAGGGAGTCCCCAAAAGTATTGGTTTGGGCTGAATTCCAGGAAGCTGGCCAGGTTGGGACCGAAATGCCCCATGGTGAGAATGAGACTCCAGCAGAGTTTGGGGGTGGGGGTGTACAGTGGGGAGGACCCGGGACCAAGAAGCCCATGAAGAGGTTAAAACCCCTTCAGTAACTCGGCCGGCGCAGTGCCGGGAAAGCAGTGACCTGAGTGTGTCAGGGGCACATACTCCATCTACCCACATGCCAAGGAATGAGCCAGCGGCCAGTCTGGTTGGAATTTAGAATCCTGCCAGTGTGCTTCTTCCTTTCCATCTGGTGAAAAAGCAGAGGAGGTTCCTCTCTCTTGGATCACAGGAAGGGACCACTCACAAAGCCCCAGGACTGGCTCCTTCTGCTCTGCCCGCCACTGTCCCATCCCTCTGGCTCGGCAAGGCCCCAGGAGCGTGCCTGACAACCATGGACACAGCCTCTGAAGCTCTGGATCACGGACACACCCAAACCCAAGGGAGCTGCAGGATGCTGTTGATGCCCGCTCGCTGCCTCCTGCCACTCGATGGAGCAGCAGAAATAGCACTTGGAGTCCCCAAAGAGCTGCGAGGCCGGAACAGGGGCCACATTTGGAATTGGCCCAGGCCAGGGAGGGGGGCCTCTGGTAGGACCCTTAGCTGCCTCCGAGAATAGAGACAGCAAAGGCACCGACTGGTACTCTTTCTCTTATTTGTCCCATCTGTCATTTGTGCTGGGCACATGCCTGAGCTACAAGAGCTCATGAAAAGAGCCAGCTAACAGCCCCACCTGTCTGCCCTTCCCACAGGGCCAGGCACTGTGCCTGACCTTATTTCTCTCCCCCTGCAGACCAGCATTTCCCTTCAGATCAAAAACATACAAATCTTTCGTTTTAGCGAGACACTGACTGGACCCTTCACCAAGGCCAACGATCGGGAGATGATCTCGCATCTGGGCCACTTAGCTGGGGGCAGAGGGAGCAGGGCTGGTAAGAAGATGGCAGCCCCTGGGAAACCATAATAAAAGATGGCAGGGGGTAGAAGGCGTGGTTTCCAGAAACAGGAGAGGCTGGGCCGGCAGGACAGTAGCTGAGTGAACTTGGCCTCTGAGAGGGTTGGCAGGTGAGCCCAGTAGGTGTTCTTCCCTGCCCTCCCCAACCTTTGCCTCCCCAGGTTCACCTACGCCTGCTCAGCGATTTGGATGAAGCCACAGAAGTGTGCTCATTGGGTTTGCCTGCCGGCGACACAAACCTGGAAAGAGTGACTAATCACGAACGTGATTCATGACCCAGTCAAAATTCCAGAAGGTTAACAAGAAGCTGGAATGCCAGCCCAAACCCAAAGGATGATCGGAAGCCCTTTGACATTACAATGGGGTTGGGGGCGGAGGGCAGGGCCGTGAGGGGCTTGGGAACTGCCACAGACACTTGAAAGCAGAGCTGTTGGGGCCTCAGCCATCTGTCACATGACGAGGGGCTGGCTTTGCCCCCTTGCGCCGGAGGGTTTCAGCTAGCCTAGTGGGGAGCAGGGTCCAGGCGGGAGCCTGAGCTGCCCGACAGTGCCAGAGGAGGCTGGGCAAGGGAGGGAGAGCTGGGTTTCTGGAGGAATCCAGCAGAGGGGACAGGCGCCATCCTGCATCCCGAGCAGATCAGGAAGAAATTCTTCCTTGGGTCGGAGGTTGCACTCAGGGCCCTTTCAAATAAGCATCTGTGGCTGAGGCCTGCCCCTCACCGCAGTGAGTTCCTGGAAAAGGCTGCCTGGCTGGGTGTGAATCACAGGAAGCTGGGGCGGGGGGGCACCTCGAAGGAGCTGTTGATGATTGGAGGGGGCTGGGCTGGTGTTCTCTGAGATTCTGCCGGGGGCGTCCGCTATTCCAGACACAGATGCTCTAAGTGGTTATATAAGCCACAGTTGACTCATTTGGGACAAGTGTTCACCTCAGAATGCCAGTTCCAAGGAATACTGCACTTAGGAAAAAGCACTCGATGACCAAATAAACTTGGGAAATGATGGACTAAAGACAGATTTCCTATTGAGTGCAACACCATTCAGAGGCTTTTCATATACCAACAGGAAGGGCGCCTGGCTGGATCAGTCGGTGGAGTGTGTGACTCAATCTCAGGGTCATGAGTTCAAGCCCCACATTGGGTGTGGAGCCTACTTAAAAAAAACAAAAAAACCCCACCATATACTAATAGGATATCTTGAATTATTGCCTTTAATTCTTTTTTTTTAAAGGATGTTCAGAGTGGCAGAGATAATGTTTTCATCAAATCTTATTTTCCTCTTTCTGGATTCCTAGGAAGACAGCATTCCCAGCCTCGCCGGAAGTTAGGTTGGGGCACGTGACTAACTCTGGCCAACAGGCAGGAGGGGAGGTGATCGGTACCTCCAGCTCTCTCTTCCTCTGACGCGGTGACCGGCCATCGTGGAGGCCACAGGTGGAGATGACACACAATGGAAGCCACCTGGATCATGCAGACACCACACAGAAGGCAAGCTGCCCTGAAAAGTCACCTGATTCAGAACAGGCTTCTCATCAGTAAAATAAAGAAACAAACCAACCCTTGTGTTAAGCCACTGAGATGTCTGGGTTCAACACCACAGCCCAGCTGAGCCCATCTTGACTAACCGTTTAGGTAGAAAATATCCCGGAAAAAGACTGCCACACATGCCCTGAAAGGTGAAGGACAGTGCTGGGCCACTGGTGAATTTAGCCAGCTAAAAAGTTTGTGCTGTCAACAATCTGAGGGGGCAAAGGAGATGGATTCTCTGCCTGCTGCTCTGTCTTTTGTCCACCCACCTCCCCTCATCACTGAATGCCCCATTTGGCTTCTATGGTTACCTGTGGTCACCTGATGTTTTGGTGGTTAGCGGTTCTCACGGCAAACCCTGATGAGAAGTGGCTGAACCCAGCAGGGGAAGGGGGAGGGGCAGGGCAATAACACACCCCCCCACACACACACACACATACACACACACTGCCTTCCCTTGGCCCCACAGGGCTTGCTGGGCTCACGGTGGTCTCTCCCAGGGCTTGGGACATACAGTTGGTGGGGACCAGAGGAGGTGAAGGTGGGAAGGAGAGTTCCTCTCGTTGGCACCCACTCTCCCCAGAACAATTTTAGGGGAGAAACAAAATGGGGACTAAGGGGCAGTAGGTGGATAATTTACATTAGGCCCCATGAAGCATGGAGCTGAGGGTCTGACCTCCATTCTGGGTGGCTCAGAAGCCCCCTTCTTGCTCTTGTGCTGCAGAGGAAGGAGACAGAGATAAGGACAGTCAACCACAGCTATTACTGAGCAAATATTGCTTTCCCTTCCAACATGGGAGCCATGTTTTGACACCCTCTGCGGCTGGGTGGCCGTCACAGGGAGTGGGGGGCAGACAGAGAGTGGAGAACTTGTTGGTTGAAAAGGAAGCCCTCTTAGATAGGATTTGCTGTAACCAGGATGACAAAACCCAGTGTCATTGTTTGTAGGTCTTAGAATTTTTAGCTAGGTCAGTGGTTTTCGAACTTTGATTGTATCAGCATCATGGTGTGGGAAACGGGAAACTTGCCCAGGCCCTGGTCCTATCCTGCTTCAGCAAGCCTGGGTCTTTGCATTCTTTGATTCCCAGGTGATTCTGGCACAACCCAAAGTGTGAGAACCATCGATCTAGGCCATAGTGCTTATCAGAGAAAGGAAGTTCACAAGATAAGTACCGTTAACGCTTTGGTGTGTCTCTCACCTATTACAAATAAATGGATACCAGTTTTTAAATCCAATGATATTGTACATACTTTTAAAAAATCCTGGTTTCCACAAGCCAGTCCCCAGGGCTGAGAAATAGCTGGTCATCTCATTCCTTGGGAGGGTGGGTGAGAGCAAGAGCTCATCATCTGGTTTCCTCAGCTACTGGCTTTCTGAAGGAATGCGGTCAAGCCCTCAGTCAGAGACCCCCAGCACCCAACCTCAGCCCCCAGGAGAGTGTGTTCCATGGAAACTTTGGGGAGGAATCTCATTATTGCTTGTTCCCAAAGACATGTCTGCATGTGGGTCTTATTTCCTTGTGCTGGACACTGGCAAGTCCTTTCAACCCAAAGGCTTGTGTCTTTCCGCCGGGAGAAATTGGCTTGTCTAACTTTTAAATCATTGTATCCCCTCCATTTTCTGTTTTTATTTTCTGGAACTTTCAACAGTAGAATGTTAGAACTCTGGGTTTGATCCTCCGTGGCACTTACAGTTTATTTCTTATATTGCTTTTGTTGACTTTGTTCCTTCTGGAAAATGTCCTGGCTTTATTTCCCAAATTTGCCATGACACTCTTCTTAGTTTCAGCAGTCATTTTTCATTTCCAAAGCTCTTGATCCTTGTCCCTTTCTTATAGTATTTGAGGATACTAATTAGACTTTTTTTTTTTTTTTAAGGCTTTCTTCAGTTCCCTGTATCATCTCTGTATCCTTTTGGGTAGTTTTTGCTTATCTTGATCTCTCTTTTCCAAGTTGCAGATTTTCCTAAGTGTTGGTGATGCTTGATGGGTTATACATACCAAAAAATGAGGTAACAAAAAGCTGATTGAGGCCCTGTGTTGGTGAGTAGAGCTTGTCAGCTGGCAAGCCTTGTTTTTTAAGTTATTATATGGGGAATCCTTAAATGCCAGAGGACAGAGGTCTTTGCTCTGGGGTCCTTAAATGTCTTTGGAGAAGAGTCTTCTGATTGTTGGCCTGGGGATTAACTGCTACTATCTGTCCTTCTGCATCAGGCATCAAATGTTTTGTGAACCAACTTCTTAGTTCATT